TAGAGCTGGGGTAAAGCGACAGGGGGAGGGGGGCTTGGTTTTGGACAGGTACTTCTTCAATCATCATTAAGGACTGGACGATTTTTTTAAACCCCTTCCAGGGAGCCTCACGCAGGCGACGAACAGGTACGGGAGCCCGCCGGGGCTCTCACTGGGCTTCCTCGTGATAAAAAGTGTTTTAATCCCCCCTGTCCCCGACCCTGCGGCCTGGGGAGGCCCCTCGGGAAGGAGCCTCTCTCCTTGGCCCCAGCAGCCGCTCTCAGGCAGGCACAGCAGCTCCCTGCGCAGTCCCGGCACAGCAGTCTGCTCATAGCTCCGCAACAGCTTCCAGCCATGTAGACCAGAGCTAAAAGAATTGATCCGTTACCAGCAGTTTTTCTTGACAAATTCCTCCCTTTCTAGGAGCTTGGATTTCGAGGCATGGTGTGAAACCTGTAGGGGAATCCTGCAGCCTGGTGCCTAAATGTTGTGTGAGTGCTCAGCGGGGAGCAGGGCACAGCAGTCTGCTCATAGCTCCGCAACAGCTTCCAGCCATGTAGACCAGAGCTAAAAGAATTGATCCGTTACCAGCAGTTTTTCTTGACAAATTCCTCCCTTTCTAGGAGCTTGGATTTCGAGGCATGGTGTGAAACCTGTAGGGGAATCCTGCAGCCTGGTGCCTAAATGTTGTGTGAGTGCTCAGCGGGGAGCAGGGGCAGCCTCCTCCTCGGAGCGCAGAGCAGGTGACTCCACCTGGGGGTGGCTGGTTTGTCACCCACCGCCCGGTGCGAGATGCGGGCTGCGCATCCCTTCATCAGGGAGCAGCTCGAGGAGCAGGAGGCTGGCGGGGCAGCTCGTGGGGCGATGGGACCCCTCATCACCAGGCCCTTCCCTCCCAATCAGGACAAATAGCGGCAGTTTCAGCTTCGATGTCACCCATGTTTTGTTCTCCTAGTGCTTCACGTGGAAATGGCTTTGTTCTCTACAGGCAGAGGAGCGTTGCTGTTGAATCTCTGACCCAAGGAAGCCAGCACATTCCCCTCTCCCCTGTCTGCTGGTGGCCTTTGGAGCTGGCCGCCAAAGCCAGGCTTGGCGCCGACCTTCAGGCTCCATCCGGCCTTGTTTGGAGCTCAGCTGCCAGCATCAAAGAGGAGGCAGCACGAGTTAAAGCTCCAGCTGCGGTTCATGGTGCGTGACCCCCTACGTCGGGTCTGTGCTGAATGAGCAGCCCAGCTCCTCACTGTCGACCAAAGCGCCTCGAGCTACTTATTTGACACTGCAATTAGCGTGACTGATAGTATCCTTGTTGTTACTGCGTAACCTATAACTATATCTATAATAATCATAGTCATGCAACTGCCTCTTGTGCCAGAGCATCAGCTTGAAGGCTATTAAGCAGACAAACTCACTAGTTATGCACTTATGACTACTGTCAACTTGTGACTACTGTGTTTGCAGATGTCATGGCATTTTATAAATAGCGTAGGATCACATCCCGGTTTGAGCTGCCCTGGTGCCAGCCTGGATTTGGTCCAGCTGTACTGCCAGAGTTAACTTAGATTCATCCCTTGAGAGTCCGTGTTGTTCCCTGGTGCTCCCTAAGCACGTTTCCCTCGACACGTCCAAGCTCTTGCTTCCCCTCTCCCTGGTGCTCCCAGGCTCAGCGTAACTGAGGTGCTGGGGACCCTGCCCCTGTGCAGCCACGGAGTGGGAACATTGGTGGCATCTGGGGATGCAATGGGACGGGGGCTTCCCCGCTCCTCATGAGCCCCCATGGGCCAGAGCTGCAGAAGACTCACTTTCTTCCCCTGAAACATCATCTGCCTGGGTCCAGCTTGAAGCAAAACAAGATCTACCGTGGTAATTTATGACTCTGCCTCAAACAGAGATTCTTTGTTTTGAAATATTTGCATTGAGAAGGTTGAAGTTATTTATTAGAAACTGGTGAAAGGGAAGTTATCTGTCTTGGCTTGATTTAAACCCCTGTTATTGTGGAAGACTTTTTTTTTTTTTTCCCTGTGAAGAAAATGACCTTTCTTGGGCAAGAGGGAAGGGGCTGGCCGGGGCAGAGAAGTGGGGAGAAGGACTTGCTTGTGAAATGGCTCTTGGCTAATGCGAAAGCAGGAGAAGGGTGTTTATGTGCTTGTTGCTTTCATCTTGCGTTCTGGCAAGTTAGCGTTTTCCCTTTGAAAAAATATTTGGAAGTCCTGGCTGTGATCGTTGACGATCCATTTCTTGCTCTTTTCGCAGCAGCCTCTAACGTCCGCGGGTGCTCGCAGTCGACTGACGTGAATCTTAGGGGGAAACTCATCCGGGAACGCGGTCCCTCCACCTGTCCCGAAGTGGAAGTGAACACGAGCAGGGCAGTGTCTCTCCTGCCCGCCAGGCAGCTGTCGCTGTGCCCCAGCCCAGAGCTGGTCGCGTTTCCGTAGCGTGGGCAGCGCTGGCGACGCCGCAGGAGCTCTCCTAGATACCTCTATTAGAACATGGTGATGTGTACAGCTTCAAGGTACTCTGCAGTTTAACACAGGCTGGATGGTCTTTTTTTTTTTTTTTTTTTTTTTTTTTTTGCAGAGGAAAAATCTGTAAGGACTGGAAGCAAGATAGAGCCGCCTTTGCAAAGCGACAGCACGAGAACGGAGCTGTCTGGGAATGGAGCTGCTGGAGCAGAACCAAGTGGTGCGGGGAGAGGGGAGAGGCAGGAAGGAAAGAGAGAAAAAGGACAAAAATACCCAACCTCAGAGTGCAATTGGATGCGGCCCATCTGCCTGAGAACACAAACAAGAGAGCCTGTTTTTAATCATCTTCCATTAGCAGCACCCTTGAGCTCAGGCATCTTCGGGATCCAGCAAAACGAAATGCAACTTTGCCTGCTTATTCTAGTCATGAAGCATGTCGACGTTTTTATGCGGCATTTGGGCTTGTTTCCGAAAACAAATGTTAGTCATCAAGTAACTCCTCTTTTCCCAGAAAATCACCCCCGAACAACCAGCCCGTTAACTCTAGGTGTTTAGACATTAATTTTACGTGCAAATCTATGTGTGCGTTTCCTGATGGATCAAGCGTGCCTGTATATTTTTTCATAAAGGATGAAGTAGGCGCGTGGGCAGAGCGGGGGAAGCAGCGGGATTGTCAGGCTTTCTGCTCAGCTCTAGATGTGGATATGGTCCAGGCTTTGGAGCAGGGCGGTTGGGAGCTTTGGGATGTTCAAGGTGGCTCATGCTCAAAGCGCTGGATGGAGGGTTAGGAAAGAGGAGCTCTCCTCCTTTCCTGGTGCCATTCCTCTTGTTGCTTTGCTTCTCCCTGCTCCGTGCCTCAGTTTCCCCATATGCAAGCAAGGAAGTGATGGATTCATGAGTCCCTGCAGAAAGGAGACCTGAGCCCAGGGGCTCTGCTTCCCACTCTGTGCTTCCACCTTGGGGAAGGGCTTGTTTTGTTAGCAGAAATGAGAGATCTGCACCAACGTTGTGTCTGAGCTGAAACGCGGCAGCATCCGTGGAAGGGAAATAAAAGAGCAAGGAGAAGTTTCCCGTAACCCCGCACAGACTGCATAAACGCTCCCCGAGGGCACGAAGCCGACAGGGCACTGGGTGCTCTAAATGGTGCAACCAGCTCGAAAACGCCGGGGTCGTGGGGCTGCTTGGCTGGCCTGGGGCGAGCGCGAATGCGG